TTTTTAGACAGGATTTCACTGTATAGCCCTGGCTATCCTGGAACTCCCTGTAGAGACCTGGTGGACCTTGAACTCAGATCTGACTTGAACCTTGAACAAAGACCTGACTGTCTCTGCCTCCCAGGTGCTGGGATAAAAGGCGTGCACCACCAAGCCCATCATTTTGTTCCTTTTAATAACCGTATACCATTTCCCCTTTGTGCTTGTGTCGTTTTTCGTATCAGGATATTTTTAATATCAATTGGATATTGAGACGGGGTCTTGCCATGTAGCCTGGCTGACTTGGTACAGACTGTGTACTTGATGTAGTCTTCCTGCTTCAGCCTTCCCAATGCAAGGCCCATAGGTGTGCACAAACCCACTCAGCTCTTTGGTTCTAAAGCCAGTCTCCTCCTGATGGGTGTTGAGGGTGTTTGCAGTCTTTGGCTGTTACCATCAACGCTGCAGTAATTTTCCTAGCTTCCAGGAACCGACATTAATCAAAGCGCGCTGGAAGAGGCTCTCTTGCATCAGTCCCAGATCTGACGGGCAGCGCCAAAGCATGTAGACGCTCTCGGCAAGGGAGCCCTCGTGGCTCTGGCCTACGTGACGATGTCCCGTGACTCCCTGCACATCTGTGGAGACTGGTGTATCCTGTCTGAGAGTGTGTACCTGCCCCAAGGCCCGTGGAACCAGGGATGTCTGTGAGATCCCCCCAGCTGGACCTGTCGCCATGCTCACATGGAGGGAGGGTGTGGAGAAGGGCGCCCATGGGAGCTCAGCTGCAGGGTGCACCCCAAGAAGAGAGTTCCTGTTCTTGTGTTGTGCAATGTTCCTGGGGTCTGGGCCTGCCCTTCTGCTTTTCCTTGCCTGTCTGCAGAGGGGCATGAGGGGGGGGGCTGCCTGTGTGTGTTTTGTTTTGTTTGTTTGTTTTCGTTTTTTCAAGACAGGGTTTCTCTGTGTAGTCCTGGCTGTTCTGGAACTCACTCTGTACACCAGGTTGGCCTCAAACTGGCAGAGATCTGCTCGCCTCTGCCTCTACTCTGCCTCCCAGTGCTGGGGTTAAAGGTGGGCACCACCACCACCGCCCAGCATGGCACCTGTGTTTTTGAGGGGAGCATCATGTTCCCTGTACAGCTTTATGTACCGTTTCCTCTCTACTTTCTCGTTCATCTTCCTTGTTCTTTCTTCTCCCCTTTTCTGCGTTTACTCTGTAGACTAAACTCCCCGGTAGCCCGGCTGTTTCTGCCATTCACCCATCCAGCGTCCTTCCCCTCTGCTCTGTGTATGGAAGGTGCCCATTGTGAGACCACAGCTGCTGAGCTCCGGTGAGGGGCCAGAGAGTCTGAGCGACGACAGAAGTCACCGCGTCTCTCCCTCTGCAAGACAGCTGGCTCTTGATAATGCAACACACCAGGCCTGCAGTAATATTGCCTGAGTGCTAGCAATCATTAATGTCTTTTAAGTGATCTTGGTGGTGGTCTCTGTAATAGACTGTAACAAACTCGCTCATATATGATAGAAAATAAAGTTTGATTGTGAAACGTAGAAATATTTTGACTTCATCATTAAAAACCTCAGGTCAGTGCTGGTGACATGGCTTATCTGGTTAAGGCACTTAGCACCGTGCCTAAGGATGCCACCAGGCCTGCCAACCCAAGCTTAGTCCCTGGGACTTACATGATGGAAGCAGAGGATTGACTCCCACAAGTTGTCCTCTAGGATCTGTGCGCGCGCGTTTTCACAAAACACAGGTGATGACAAAACTCAAAAATTAAAAAGTAAAACATAGATACAAATAGCCATCGAGTTCATAGTTCATTCAGGCTCCACAAAGCCCCTTCTCTCCCAGTTGAGTGCTTAGCTGGGAAGCCCAGGTGGAGAGCAGCAGGCCTCACTGGTGGTGAGGGTGGACGAGAGTGTCAGCAGGTGAGCAAGCAAAGGGCGGGGTGTCCCGTTGGTCCTGTCACCTTTCCCAGTAGTCCAGAGGGCTGTCTGTAGCTCTCATGTGCGGTACTGACTTTGCACTGGGACTTGACAGTGATGTGTATCTTTAGGATTTAGCAATCCGGCTCACGGGACCCCGACACCTCCAGAAACTGTAGCCTTGGAGCTTGGAAGTCTGTGCATGAAGAGGTTAGAGATTGATTGCTGTGTGTTCAGTAATAAGGGAAAGGCTGGATCAGTTTTGAAGTTCTGTGATCGGCCTAGCATGCACCCTAACACTGAGCTACACTCTCAGTTTGGTCTTTTTCTTCTGAGATGATCTCAGGTAGCTCAGGCTGGCCTCTAATTGGGTAGTCGAGGATGACCTTGAACGTCTGATCTTGTGTCTCCACCTCCTGGGTGCTGAGATTACAGCCACACACCACCACGACTGGGTTTTGCAGTGTTTGTGACGGAACCATGGACTTTGCGTGAGCCACACAAGCACTCACTCTACCAGCCGAGCTACGGGCCAGCCTTTTGTCCGCTTGTTTCTCTTTGAAACAAGGTCCCTCCATGTAGCCCTGGCTGTCTAGAACTCTCCATGCAGACCAGGCTGGCCTGCAAACTCATAGAGCTCTTCCTGCCTCTGCTTCCCAAGTGCTGGCATTGTGGTGTGTGGCCTGGCCTGGCTCAGGCTGGCTCAGATTTTTGGTGTAACCAAGGATATTCTTGAATTTTTTATCTTCTTGTGTCTACCTCCAGATATAAGGATGACAGGCATTAGTCACTGTACCTGGTCCCAGCTATTCTTATTTATTTGTTGTTTTTTTAGTGGTGCTGAGGGTTGAACCTAGAGCCTCTTAAGTGCTAAACAAGAATTCTACTGTTGAGACAGAATCTATCAGGTTGTTCATGCTTTCCAGGCATCCATAATCCTCTTGCTCTCTCTCTCTCTCTCTCTCTCTCTCTCTCTCTCTCTCTCTCTCTCACACACACACACACACACGCACACGCACACGCACACGCACACGCACACGCACACGCACACGCACACGCACACACCCGCAGCACCGGGATCACAGGTGCATGTCACAATTCCTGGTTTCTGTATCTTCCCTCCCTCCCTCCCTCCCTCCCTCCCAGATTTTGAGACAAGCTGTCACTGTGCGTCTCAGTGTAGTTGGAAATACAGACATGCGCCCCTGGGCCTGGCCCAGTCCTGTCTTGAAAAGCATCTGTGTATGTGTGTTCCTGTGTGGGTCTCCGTACACACACATGCACACCTCGCTCTCATGCACTTCACTTTGGTGGGAAGATGAAATGGAAGCTGTTTTTTTTTTCCCCCTTCTTTCTCACTCTGTCCATAAAAGGCTGGTGCTTTGGGAAATTTGACTTTCTGGTTGGTGTTTTCCTCCCACTGAAAAAGAAAGGGGAATCAAAGGTTTGTGTGTCATTTAGTCCCAGGAGGGGGGTGGGTTTGCCGGCATGGTGCAGACCTTTGCTGGAGAGCCCTCCTCGCCGCCGAGTGTGTGCAGGGAGAGAGAGCAGGCTCTCTCGGGTGGGTCGTTATGTTGGTCCTGCCCGCTGAACCGGGGCTCCCCGTGCCCTTGCCCTGCCCTGCCTTGCCCCTGGCAGGCTGCTCTGTGAGCTGCGCTCTGCTCGCCATCTGTTGAGGAAGCAGTTGCTAAGCTGTTAGCAGACCGCCCTCCCATGTCTAATTTAGCAGGGCACCCTCCTCTCAATAGGCCTCCACCGGGGCTGTGGGATCACCCTTTAATTATTGACCGGGGGCAGCCGCCTGAGGGGACTCCTTTGCCCACAGACAGACGGTGCTGACGAGCAGTTCGATGGCACATGGGGAGGAGGGAAGCGACCGGGAGGGCGTGAGCAGCAGCGAGGAGTGGGCGGCTTCAAAATAGAAACGCACGCACGAAGCGCCTAGGAAGGAAGGGCATCTTAAACGCGGATCTTCTAGAGGCTGTGTGTGGTTCCGAGTGAGCCACGCTGCAACCTTGCCCTCCCGGGATCCCTGTTGAGCTCACCTTTGCCCCCTGCTCTGCGGCTGACATCTGCCCAGTGTGCCAGCACCATATTCTCCTAGGGAAGGTTGGACATCTCATGGCAAGGGTTTCTCCAGAGTCATAGGCCTGGGACCGTCCTTGTCCCGACCTGCCATGTCATCCACGACAAGCTACTTCCCTTTCTCTGGCCTCAGTTCTTGACACCTTCCAAATCGGGGGGTTTTGGGGGTCTGTCACAGTTGTAGAACATTTTGAGTAATAGACACGTATGCTGTTGCCGCAAGAGAGCCAGGAGTTAGAAAAAGCCCAGAATCCAAGACCGTCAGGCAGGCAGGCAGGCAGGCAGCCATGACTGTGAATCCTGGCTCCTTTAATCTGCACAGAGCTTTCGGCTTGGTATAAATCAGTAGTGGGACAGATTCAAGCTGGGGTGCCTCATCTAAAAGGAAGGGCTAACAGTAAGGATTTGGGAAATACGGTTTACTTCCTGGTAGGTGCTCATTAAGTAGTGTTGGCATTGAGGACTTGGCTTTTGAAACTGCCTTTTGTCTTAGCTGGAGAGGATATTTCATGTAGGGAGGGAAATGGGAGTGGTCTTGCTTTAAAGATGCCACTTGGTGGAAAGCATTGGTGTGGAATTCACCAACCTCACCTAATCCCCCCATCATTTCAATTGCAATTAGCAACCTGGAACAATCGACTGTGTATGTGGCGTCATGTACGACACCCTGATCTCTGAGACTCGGGAAACACTATGTATGAACTAACAGGCACTATTGTCTGTCGCACTTTAAAAATGACAAAGTTGAGCCTTAGTGAACTGCCCAGTTGTGTCTAAGGCCACCTAGTTCTGGTGGGTATCAAGCTAGTACTGGAGCTGTTTTTATGCGTTTTAAAGACTGGTTTTAAGGGGATGGGGGCGGGGAGCCAGTCCTGGGGCTATGGCTGGGAATATTTGGCCCCCACAGGAAATCATGCCCTTGAATTATTTAGTCCAATAGGTTTTCTCAGCTACCCTGGTGATCAACTCCACACTGCCTGTTCTTGCCTGCCGAGTCCGGTGGAGCCCTGAGGCCCATAAGTATCACATAATTCAACTTCCTTCCTTCCTTCCTTCCTTCCTTCCTTCCTTCCTTCCTTCCTTCCTTCCTTCCTTCCCTCCCTCCCTCCCTCCCTCCCTCCCTCTCTTAAAAAAAGTACTAAAAGAGGTGCCTTCACTTTTATGTTCATAGTTCACAATACACATGAAAACTGCATTTTGTTTGGTTTCTGAGCCAAGGTCTCACTATGCAGCTCTGGCTGTCCTGGAACTCACTATATAGATGAGGCTGGCCTTGAACTCACAGAGTGCTGGGATTAAAGGCAAGTGCTACCACACCTAGCCAAAACTGCAGTTAACATTTTGAAGTTTATTTATTTTATGTGTATGTGTTTTTTCTGCATGTGTGTTTGTGCGTGCCTGGTGCCTGGTACCAGTGGCGGGTATTAGATTCCCTGGAACCGGAATTACAGATGATTGTGGACCAGCATGTGGTTTTGGGACTCTGGTCGGGTCTTCTGTGTAAATAGCCAATGCTTTTAACTGCTGAACTCTCTATCCAGCCACCAAACTGTGCTTTTATTTTTATTGTTTTTCTGGTTTGGTTTTTCGAGACAGAGTTTTTCTATGTAGCCCTGGCTGTCCTAGAACTCACTCTGTAGACCAGGCTGGCCTCGAACTCACAGAGATCTACCTGTCTCTGCCTCCCAAGTGCTGGGATTAAAGGCATGCGTCACCACCACCTGGCCAAACTGTACTTTTTTTTTTTTTTTTGGTTTTTCGAGACAGGGTTTCTCTGTGTAGCTTTGCG